AGGCTGTATATACAGTATATATCTGTATATATCTCCATGCTTGGAGATTTTGTATGTGATCAGCAGGGTAGAAGCAGAACCAGCTGATGCCAGAAATTCAAGGTCACCAAGTGTTGACAAGTGTGATCCACAGTTTTGAAGCTGGCTGAGAGGTCAAAGAGGTTTCTGATCAGAAAGAGGCTGCTGGAACTCGGTGATGGCAACAGAGAGGAGAGTAGTTTCCCTTGAGTTCACCAAGTGCAAACCAGAGCCTTTCCAGGTCAAGTAGTGAGTTTTTGAGTGGAAAGGTGAGAGCAACAGTACACTGCCTGCTTAGAGATTTGTAGAGCAAATTGTGTTAATTGGTCCCCTGTATTTAAAATGCAATTCATATTGTCTTTCTAGTCTTAATTAATGCTCAAGCAATACATTTTAGGTAAAATATTCACTTCACAAATCTTGTGAAATGCTAATCAAAGAACTGTCAACTGAATGTGACCTACAGTAGATGAAGTAACATGCAAATGTATTGTAGAACATTTCTGTTATCACAGTCTTAGAAAAAAGCTGCCTACTGAATGTCATAACAAAACACTTTGTCATAGTTTTAATTTATCGGGTTCAGGGCATGTTTGTGTTGTATATGGTTTTGAAACCTTTTTAAACTTGGGTTTATTGTTTCAGCAGGAAAAATATATAGAAGACAGTCGGTGAGATTTCCTATTCTCACTAGCTTCACCTCACCAGGCTTAAAAAAATATGTATTCTCTGAGATGACATTGTTTCTTTTTGTTAAACAAACAGCGCTGTAACATACTCTTGGATAATGCAAAAGCTTCCCTAAGCTAAAATAAGGTCAGTATTAACCTTGATGGGAAACTGAAACAACTCCTTCCACCTCTTTTCCACATTGTTTAGCAAGGTCAAAAGGCCATTAGAAAGCACTGCTTCTATTTTGAATTTGAATTCACTGGCTATCCCTGTCACTCACAAAGCCACATCGGACTGACTGGCTTTCCCATCCTCGTGGCGTGTGACCACAATACAAACAAAGCCATAGGATAAATAGGATTCTAAAGATCTAACACTTCATGTGCTTTTTGGCACCATCATTCCCCATTGGAAACCAAGGCACACGTAGATACTGAAATGTATAATTATAGACAAATATTTACTTGTGCAACATGTTCAAAAATCTGTCAGCCATTGTTTGTTTTACTTCAGTTTGATTTTGGTATTCATCCACATAAATGCCTTTTCTCATGGAAGTCAAAGTTTTCAGCTTGGTTCTCCAATAAACAATACAGAGATCACAGAAATGACCCTGCTAAAATTTAAGGAGCTCCCAAAATATGACATTTCACACATTAGGGGCAATAAATAAACATATAGTTGGGTAAAGAGTTTTTTTTCTTTGTTTGCTATAGGTAATCAGCATCTTTCATTTCTTCACAGAAAGTTGTAATTAACCTTTGCAGAAATGTCCAGCTTTGCTTTTATTTAAATGATCTATTTAGTGTTGTTAGGGATAAATAAAATGCGTAATGACTGAATAGTGGCTTCAGGCAGGTCTGTTCCTATGCAGAACATACATATTCATCTTTATAAATAAACAATTACCTTTCATTTGCTGCAAGACAAACTTTCATATGACTTCTTACTGTAAATGACCAGTCTAATGTTGTCATGTATTTTAAAGAGTACCCAGAGTTCCCTTTATTTTTTGACAGATGGCCTACATATTATGCTGTGCTCATCCGTCCTAATGTGTAACCCTTTTTTTAATCTTATTGGCACATACTGTAAAACAAAGACTGGATGAGTGCCAGATCACAGGTTGTTTCAGATTTGGTATTGGTTACTGTAACATGTAGAATGTGTTTCTTGAAAGATATCAGGAAATCATGTTTCAACAGTATGATTGGATAGTTTGCGCCAGACACCCTTGGCTCTTTGCCAAATTAATTGTCATGAACGTCATGCTCACAATTTGTAGTCCTTAGTGCATTTTCTTGTGATTTCTACCGATTCTCTTGGGTCCTTGTTTTATTGTTGAGCAGTGGCTCAACTTTGTCAGCTTTTGGGAGGGATTTTGAAAACATTTAAATTTTTTTTGAAAAACTTGGGTTTCCTTTTCATTAACTTTCTTTTCCAGTAATGCATGAACTTCCATGCATGTACTGTATCACATCCAAAGAACTATTAACCTAGCACAAGGCATCATATACAGTAATTCTGTAATTGGCTATAGTATGAACTCTAGTAATTCTCACTCCCACTATTTTTGTTCTGTGCAGATGTAAAGAATTAAATGTTTTTACTTAGTTTTTATTACATATCATTACAGTTTTAATGATATACCATGCTTACATTAATGATATCCTAGAAATCCTCAGCTCCTGTCCTTGAGGGCCACATAGGAATCTAGTTTCAGTTTCACCAGTAGGAATGAGTTAATAATCACTTAATTCAATCAACTATCCAAGGGGTTAACATAAAATAGTATTGACACCTTTAAACCATGCTAGATATGGCACACTTAGAGTATATGAACTGAGTAATCCCTGCATATCATCTTTGTTCCTCTGTTGATTATTCCTCTCCTGTTTTGAATGGCAATGCTGTTCGATAGTATTTGTTGAAAAATGTCTCTGAAAAGTTTTCTGAGTGCTTTCAGAAACATTTTGCATCACATCAATAAATCTCTCATCTGCAAATTGGAAATGAATGTTTCAGATTTCATTCTTTGGTGGAAAAGAAACATGGTAAGTTCACAAAGTAAGTATAGTGCATTTACAATGTATTTGTTTCATTGTGTGATTCCATATACATGTGAGGAAAAATTAATCCAAAAGATCCAGAATTGGATACCAGTCACTGTAAATGAGCACATTAATGCTTAAAAAAGGTCACTTACTTTCTTCTAAGGTGCTTCTTCTTGCTTCTAAGGTGAGTATTCCAACCGGCTGACTGCTACAACCGATAATAATTAAGTAGAACAAGTAATCAGAAATAATTCATTAACAGCCTCTGCAATTTATAACATAAACTATACTTTTAAATAACTAGCTGTGTAATTACAATTTATAACTTCATTATATTTTGTTTAGTTTACGTATTTATTACGTTATCCACTAATAGAAAACCATAGAAGAAAAGTATTTGGAAATGTTTTGTATCCAGTTGTCATGATCAATCATTCTGAAAGTTAATGGCAATAATGATGGCAGAGCAAACAATGTTTTCTAAACATGAATTTTATCTGAGATCTAGGACATCTAAGGCCAATAGCACTTAAGTGTACACATGATTCTAGTGGAAAGCATTTAAGCTTAATATGCAGCTCTCAGCATCCCTACAAGTAAGCAGCATATGTTCAAATACAGACCAAGGATCACTATGTCCTTGAACCACTGCCAGAAAGAGATTACTTTCTTATTAGTTACATAGCCATAATACACTTCTCTTGTATTTTTTCTTTTATCACCTTTGTTGTTCTAGAAATGCAATTCTACATACAGGGTCTTCTGATAACATAGTTCAAATTGTAGCTCAGTTTAATTAGTAATGGTAGTAGCTCAGCAGGATTAGTAACGATGAGTTCACGTACACAGGAAAAATACTAGCCTCGGCAATTAATGCAAATATCATTTTTTTATTTCAAAAACATTTACATGTACAGTAGCACCATGTGAAAACCTGGCCTTTTTAAGTTTGAAGGTTTAGGAAGTAGCTGTCTTTTTTAGTTTGAAATAACTTCTATATGCACCCAGCTTAGTAATTGACTTTCTTGTTGTGTGGATGCACACACCTTTGCATGTGACAGAGTAGTCGTAATAATCATTACTATATTATGTCTTGTGATATCTATTGAGGGCTTTGAGCAAATAAGATCAAAATCTTTCCTTGTTACAATAATTATTCAGGGGAGTGACATTTATTTTTAAGATATATTTTCCTTAGAGAAACAGGAATTTTACTATTAGGTGCCCAATTGCACCTCTTACTCACAATAGTTGAAAGGTATAAATTAAATGGAAATTATATCATTTTATTTAACTGACATGAGAGAAAAATGTGACTTGTTAAAATGAGCATTACTTCTGAAGCGGGGGTTATGATTCTGGATTTAACACTACAAGATTGTGGATTTAGATCCTGGTTGGGATGCAGCCTATGTACCTTTATCAACACAACCTCAACTTCATTCCAATATGTATTCTGCAAATGAGAATTTGTTCTTGAAACTTATTTGGTGAATTTACACATTAAAGGGTCACAAACCCATTGCATCATTCCATTCCTGAAAACAAACATCAGCAACAACAGCTTACTGATATGGTATCTAGTAAATTTGCTTTCACATTGCAAATTAAGAACAAAAACATTCTGAACAGCACAAGTCATTGCATTTGGCAGTGTTCAATCAATCTGTTTTTCAATGGGCAGATAGATCGAAAGGAAACTTGTCAAGGATAAATGTAAGCCTATATATAATGTAAGTTATATCGTCTTTGGTGACTGGTAAGGAATGCATTCAAACTATGTAATTTGGAGGGGGAAGGGGAACTTGCGCATGAGGACAGATGCTAGCAGCTAATCTTGAGTGTTTCAATACATATATCAAAATCTTAATACATTTTTTTGCAAATTAATATTGTTAATACACAACGTAGGTAGATCAGGTTGCATTGTTAGATCATGATATTTACATAGTTTACAGAGGTGGGCAAATTATTTTGCCTCGACGTTCCTGTCACTTGTCACCATCACAGCTTCAGAGTTTTCCTCTTAACAGGATCTTCGTGCTTTCATTGTGTTGTCCTTTTCATTATTAACTATTCAAGAAAAAAATATCCAATCTATACAAGCCTCTGGCTCCGATTTAGATCACGTGCGTTAGTGACAGGCTGTCAGAGCACCAGCTCACCATTTATTGGCCAGTTTCAACGGAGTAAAGACCCTCCCATAGGCCGGCCGACATGACGTCACCGGTGATCAGCTGTTAATGTTCCACAACAATAACAAAGAGATCAGTTGGGACCTCGCAAGGGGGAAGCAGGGAAGTTAGTGATTTGAATATCGCCGAAGGGTCCATGAAAATTGAATTTCTTCTAGGAAGAAACTTTATTTTTATACAAGTATACTTTTTCTGATTATTTTTCTACCTCAGAGTCTTACGAATCTTTTCTCCACGGTTTCATCTCGTTTACAAAGGCAGCATTTGTACCCGCAGGTGAGTTCTGCTCTTCGGTGATCCACAAGCAGAAACATGTCCGAACAAGAATCGAAGTGCGGACCAGAGAAGCAGCGTCGTAGTCAGTTGGCCTGAATGATAGTCACTGTACTGACCAGATGTTTCGTGTTAAATTCAAGTTAGGACTTTTGTCAGTTACTGCATTTTGTGTTGCGAATGAGCGTTATTTGACGCGATGAGTCTTCATCTCTATATTAGAGTTACGAGAGTGTTTTTTACGACTGTGAGAAAGTTTGCTGGTGCGGTAGTAAGGTTTATTGATATTTCGTCAAAGCGCTTATGTATAGAGACGAGTTGACAGCGTTTAAACACTTCTACAGTCGTAGTCCGCCCTATGGTGTTGGGTTACTTTTCTGTCTTACTGGGACCCGACAGCCCTCCTCTGGTAGAAAGTTGCACATTTTGGCTGTGAGCTGTTTTTAAACACATGACTTGAGAGAACCTTTGTGGCTTTTTTTGTTGAGGCTGCGGAGAGTCAAAAATAATTACAGCCTCGGACCCAACTAACAAGACTCGGGCGATTTAACTGTGCAGATGGTTCAGGTCTAATCCCGGATCATGCTAGACACACGTTATTTAATGCCATAACATTTGTATAATCCTCTGTATCTTTACGAACGCCTTGTGGTTAAACAGGAAAACACGTATTTTGCGTGTTTTTATTGCGATCTACCTCTTAATCGCTGATTCTACAGGTCTCCGTGTTTCGGTGTATCATGGTTCAATACTGTCCTTTGATTACAGCGTAAACATGAACAACTCGATTCTGCAGAAAGCTTAGATCAGGTTTGGTGAAGTTAAATCGATATGATTTACTCAGAGTGTATGGTTGGGGTTTTGGCTGTGTCGTCTTTGGTGTGCTGTGTTTGGGTTGTTGTTGTCTGTATGTGACTAGAAGTCTTCTACCTGTGCCATTTTGATCATTTACCAAATTGTCATCACCCTTCTAAAACCACGGTAAATTCCGAGCTTCACAAAAATAAATTTAGATTCGTAACAGTAAAATTAACGCGCCTGAGTTGTAAGATTTGATTTACTGCACCACGAACAGTTCATCTAAAAATGTACCGTTTTGCAAAACTGAAACAGTTCTGCAAATGGATGTCGTCAGGCGGCTTTTAAATTTTATATACAGTATATAATGAGTACCCAGAGCATTAGTATGAAAAATTATCTTGACATAGTTTGGGACTATGTAAGCAGGGTTTCTAAGATGTATGATGTAAAATAATTTGTCAATACTGAAATGCAAACAATTCTTCTATATCGACAAGTTTGTAGGTTCTCGCATACAGGTTGAAAGCACCGCTGTAATACGAGAGAAAAAAAATGCACAGACAGTTTACTGTTGGTGAACAGGTGCAGGGAATTAAACACTGGCATTTTACAGAGATTCACAGTCTTCACTTCCAGTCTCGGCAACAAAGACCCATTTGCACCCGTAAAATGTACAGCTGTTTCTCTGCAGAGATAAGGGGAATACCTTTTGGACAGCCGCCAAGGACATAAGGTCTATTTCTCACTTGGTTACTACAGGCAGACGGACCACCAAAACATTTCGAATTTAGTCATTTTGCATTTCTTCATAGGGGTGGGAGTATTAGTTATTTATTAAGTTTGCTTGTTTCCCGGAACTCTTATGTAAACACATACGGGCAATAGAAGAGACAAACTGTTCCTTCGTGTTTATTTTTAACGTTTACTTTTACAAATGTATACATTGCTGTAAAACAAATATCTAAAAGGCTTACAGTCTATTAAAGACCATTGATACCTTTAATTAAAAACAAAAATGCTCTGTGCGCAACATGTTCACTTAGCATCAAACACTGACTTCATGACTTCATAAAATATCAGCTTTCTCTTTCAAATTCACCAAGCATTAACATTATTTGAACATAGTAAAAACTATACATATATACAGTTTACAGTGTTAATGTGATTATGCTTAGTACTTTTTATGTGTCATTTATTTCAGCCAAAAGGTGCAATTCAGCTGTAACTCTAGTACTGTACAGTTTTGGCTGTAACTCAGCTGTAACCTGTTTTTATTTCTATTATAGATAACATCTAATGAATAAGGTGATTATCCTCTCTCTTCCTGACAATCATCACACTAGTAGTTTGAATAGGAAAATTGAGCAAAGAAGAAGATTATAGACAAAGACAGGCCAACATCTTGGTAGTACCTTGCAAGTGTATTAACAAGAATTCTACTAATTGTTCTCAGGGACTCTGTATTTACAATATGAATGGGCAATTCATTCTGCACACCTTCAAACCCATTATGTAAAGAAGTACTTCTTGTTTTCTGCCCATAATTCAGTGGCATTCACTTTATGCTGTATTTACAAGTAGGATTATTTTTAATTAAGTTTTTTTTTTCCCCCCAGAGTACACCTACAGTGATGTGGTTTTTCCAAAATATTCACAGTAGTTTGTTTAATGTTTTTTTAATGGTATATCTCTGCTTGTTGTGCAGTCCCATGGTAGTTCAAGTTAGATAAGCATGTCCTTTAAAATAAAAATAAAAAAATACTCCTCTAAATTTGGTGTTGAGTGTGGTGTTGTGTACCTGTGCAGAATTGAGATTACTGTGGAGGAGATAGCGAATAAAAACATGTTGAGTTGCAAGCTGCAAACTCCTGGTTCTTCTGTTGCTAAGAATTTAAGTCATTGCTAACTAAACTGCAAGTAGTCTGGCTGTTTGCCAAAAATGGCTGTATGTCTCTTCCAAATTACAGCTTTGTTGCAGATCTGTAGAACCTGTATCTGAGGGCCAGCTGTAGTGTTTTGAACTAAATAGATCTGAACACCAATATTTTTTGTTTTGAATAAAGGTTGGTGAGGGTGGTCTTAACCATTGTTCTCAGCCTTGCCCTGTTCCTTTGTCTTTTGGTTCAAACCGAGCTTCCTCATTCTTTAATACAAGATCTGAAGGTATTTAGTCAAACATCTGGAAGCATTCTAGACTGATATACTGTATTCATTCTATTAGGCAGTAAGTGCTCAAAGCAATATTGTTAAGGTAATGTATTCTACAAAAGCCATTTTAACTTTCTTCTATTTAAAATATGTGTATTTTTTTGTGTGTGCAGGGCTTTGCACATGAGGGCCGAACTGTGAACTTCACCTGGCTTCATCACCTGGCTTCGCTGAGATGAAATTGTATACCCATGCACTTTAGTACCTTTCCAGTTGCCAACCTGAGCAGCCTAAATAGATAACCCAGGAGATTCCGCTTGGCGGCATTGTGAGGGAAAACTGCAACCACAGCCCAGGTTTCCTCCTAAACGATGTTCCAGAGGTTCACCAGTATCCTCTTTGGAGACGTTGCTGAAGATGGAAGCAGCTGTAAGCGAGCACCTGAGTTCAGTGAAAAAGAGGATGATGATGAATGGATTCTTGTTGATTATTTAGGTAAGACATTCGTTTGCATTGGTGTATACTGCCCTAGGAGATGACCTGCTATTATAATTATCAGAAATTGCAAAACATAGGTGGTTTATAAAGCACAGAGAAAGCTGTGCACAGTGCTTCACTGAAATTTGTTACATTTGCAAATGACAGTATGGGAGATTTGCTTTTAAGGACAGTGGCAGTACATACCAGAGGAGACTTAACATTACTAGTGTTCTGTTAGTGCTGTTAAATAATCTCTAACTTTTTAAGTTTCCAGCTTTATCTCTTTTTTTATACCAGGGTGAATTCTTCAGGTGCAGAGAGTGGCATCTTGGTTGCCCTCTTTTGTTTTATTTGACAGACTTATGGATAATTTCCACCCTGCAAGCTAAAAAGAAAGCACATCGTAGGGCGTATGTAATATCAACCATGTTACACAGTGCCATAATTTCTCTTTACCTAGAAAAGCTGTATTTCCTGCTCAGCCTTGTTTTGTACTCTGTAGGGTTTCACCTCTGTACTTTGTTGTAATTATTGTATAAAGGTGGACAGTGAGTCATGTCAGCTCTCAGTTTAATCGTTTTGGGCTTTTAAGGCAGGGCCCTGTGTAGCATGATAGAGAGGTAATAATAGGGATGAAAGAGCAAAATGAAACACTTGGGGATCTTACCTGCTGTTTGAGATTAACAGAATATTTAGAGCCAACAAGAGAGCGATGGTTATCCTGAGGATTATTCAGTACAAAGTATTGCCAGACTATAGTATTACCCAACAATTTGCCTAGGCTACATGTTGAACTTTTTGAAAGTAGTACTGCACTCTGTTTAAGGCAAAATGTAATGAATATGTAAATTCTGGCTAATTTGCAATAAACACATTTTTGTAATTTAAATAATTAATTTCTTCTCCATCCTTTTTCCTTGCTGAGATTTAAATGGTCCAAACATCTTATGATGTACCACAAATATGCATTTTTACTTTAAATTCATGTTTTTGATCCTCAGCATTACAGATTACACAAGTTTCTTGTCTTGGCTTGGAACTTAATTCTTACATTTCTACGGGCCACACATCCGTACAGTGATAACGATTCTGTAGAATTCACAGCTTTTACATAATTTCTCAAACATGTGTCAGACACTTTTCACAGTGCAATAACTACAGGGTTTTAAAACACTTTTTTTCCTCTTTGCCTACATTTTATTTTATTGTGTGTTTTTATACAAGATTTTGTGGCAGTGAACACATTTTACCTTTGCCATTGGATACATTTACTGCAATATTTCAAAGTGCATTCATACATGCTTTTTCATAGTTTTGTTTTGTCTGGTTCAACCCACCCATCTTCATGACTTTTGGTTTTATCCTGTTTCCTCTTCAGACACTTGCACTAACACCTGCAGAGAAGGAGAAAGTGTGATCTGTGCTCAGGAAGATTCTAGCCTTGATAGCCCAGCACTGTTCTCCTCTATCTCCTCTCTGGCTTCCACCAGAGAACTGGTGGACACTGGTTTCCTCGAGCTGAATCCATGCACTCTAGAAGAGAGCTGGTTTATCACCCCTCCACCCTGCTTCACAGCAGGGGGACAGGCCCCTGGACTGCTGGAGACTAGTCCCATGGAGAACCTGCTCATTGAGCACCCCAGCATGTCTGTCTATGCAGTGCACAACCTGCACAACACCCTGAAGGACACAGCCCGAAGGTCTAGGGATCAGTCCTTCAACAGGTAAGGCAGCTCTGTTATTAGTGGTTAATACTAACTGATTATGTTGATTTAGCTACTTGTTAAGTTCTGTACTAAGTATAGGCCTATTTAATATTTCTATTAATAGTGTTGTCACATAGCAGTAGATCACGCACAATATTTCCAGGTAAGCTAATTGTCAAACAAAATGCTTTTAGTTTTTCAAGTATGCATTCGTGTCATAAAAAGATCGTTGCTACTCTGGAATAGTATTGAAGCATGGCAACGGTGTTTATTCTTGGGCAAAAACAAATGTCCTACAGGGACAGGTTGTGAATAAAGTTATTTTTTTTTATTGTTGAACAGAGACAATGATATTCAATATATTGATTCATACATTCAAAATCCTCAGAAATATTGACCGAATCAACTTAACGGTGAATCGTGAACCAGAGAGTACAAGTGGAAATTAAAACTTTAAATTAGGACAGTGCACTCTTCCTGTTCTCAGTTGTATCACCTGCAATTTATTATTGCAGTGAGAGTCCTGTGACTGAAAATTATACACTGAAAGACTGCACCCAGCAATTCTAGTTGTTCAGTTTACACCCCTTGGCGGTCTGTAGATATCAGTATTTATAAAACATAATGTTTGAGAGGCTCTTGTTGAGTGTATAATGGTCGTCTTAAGATGCATTTCTGTTTTGTAAGAGGCAATAAAGGAATGTGTTTCTCAAAGTCCTAATAATAAATTCAATTTGTGAATTTCCCACTAAATAGGGCTTCACAATCGAGATTTTTATTTTTCAGCATCATCCACTTTCACATCCACACAGATCTGTGCGCTTGACAAGGTTATGCCTTCATATATTTAACAACAGGATCTCAGTGTTGTAGCCTTTTAGAGATGGCAGGAGTGAAAATGTAAAAAATAATGGACCGCGACAATTTGTTTTTAAACTGAATTATTCTGTTTATATTAAAAAAATATTTTGTGCTCCATCTATGTGAAACACTTGGTAGATAAATCAATTCAAAGTCAATATTATTTTGCGTATCTTTTAAAATCTAGACATTTGGTTCTATAATCAGTCTTTGGCAGGGTTTTAGCTGGGCCTGCAGCGGGTTTGAATGGGTGAGGATTGTGGGGATGTAGGATTTCATTATTTTATTGTTGTTGGTACTGTAGGTGCTATAATGAACCAGTTAACCAGTTTCTGGCTCTCCTGTGTCTTTCTTTCTTTGCAGGATGGAACCACAGAATAGAACTGGTCAGCATATTGGCTGCTATGCAGCTGCACTCAGTGCCCACACCGGTCTCTTTGAACAAGCTAAATATGTCCGGCTTTCTCAGCGTACCAAGGACAATGCAGAAAAGCAACACTTGTCCCGCAGTACCTTGCGCCGTCACAACCTGGTCAGGGATGGTGGCTCTCGACAGGTCAAAAGCAGTGCGGTTTTCGTTCACCAGCCTACTCAGAGGCAGTTTAACTACTGAACTTTGTCTTTCCCATATTTGTGTTTTCTGTAACCGTATTTGTGGTATGTCTTTCACACAGATAAAGAGTCAAGTCATTTAAAGCCGATGCTGTGGATCACTCTACTTTGCGCCATGTTTTAAGTTGAAAACGCCTGAAAGACATTTTGAGCTGTTTGTTGCCTCTTGGTGTTCTTAAAAAAATGTGCCACTCAGTGTGACTGACACCATCTGGCTTTTCTTACAGCTGAAAGGCACCACTTACAAAAAAGCAGAGGGGATCTAGAAACAATAAAATACACAATAAAGATGCCTTAGTGATCTTAGTGGTGTCGAAATGTTTGTGGAACAATTTAAACAGGCATAAACCGTAGTTTTGTTTCCATTTGTTCTTTTGGTATCTGTTTTTTTTTTTTCCCCTGTGTCGTCTGCAAAGATTTACCTGAACTCTTTGAGAAATTGGTTGTTGCAGTGAGTCAAGCTTGGAGATCTTACACAGGTTATGTTTTAGGGAATTGCTGCAAAAAGTTTGCTGGGTTCACAAAAATAAAAATGGCACCAAACGTGTTTGAAAATGTAACAACTCAGAAATGAGATGGCATGGTTATATATATATATGTGTAAATTATTACTTCAAACTTTTTTTGCTGTCAAGTGCCAGCTCTTAGATCATGCTCCAATAGCTGAGCCTCTCACTTTTATAAAATAACACTTTCACACTATTTGTGAATATAGTGAAATGCTGGATTTTGCTATAACTAAACACTTGGTTTTAATAGTGGACTTTAACTGAAGTATATTTAGAATAAAATATCTTCCAGAAATATTTTTAAAACAATTTAAAAAAAACATTACATATCAGTATGAAGTTGATATATGAGAGGATGATATGTATGAATGAGATATTCGTATTATATTAGTGTGTGTATATGCATGATTGTGTAGAGCTAGACTACATAAATGCGAAAACTTTTCTTAAAGAAGCGTTTAATTGTATCTTTCAGAATATTTATCCTAAATTTGCAATATAATTCTCAGGGTCAGAACGGTTCACTTTACACTTTAATAAGATAAGGATTACTTGATTAGCAGTTCATTGTCTTTGTATATAAGCCTTCCAAATATATCAGTGTAAGTGTATGATATTGCCATGTGAAATTGTTGTAGACCTACAAATATGTGTATCTTTGAGTATATAAATGAAACATTTGCTAGCTGGCTTGAGGACTGTGAAGGACTGACTGTACTTTCTTGCTCAGCCTCCTTTAACTTTTAAAATTAGGATTAGCGAACAGATTGCATAAATTTGCTTGTTTTGCTATGATATAATTAATGTATATGTAATTGGATATACAAACTGTACATCATTTTCCACAGTTAAGATGTATAGATTAATCTTTTTTGTGAAATTACTGTTTCATTTTAATGAATATAATTTCTGAACTGTATTTCTAAACCAAAAAGTAGAATACCACTTGAATTCTACAGTAGGCCTATATTTTCTAATGTTTCTGCATTTAGATTTCCTAATGCAAGGATGGCATACCTTGAAACAGAATCTCTGTAAACAGGAAATTAGGTCATTTGAAAAGTCTCTTATCCTTTTAAACATTACTGATATTTCACTTTCAGGTATTTGCCTACTAACTCGGTTGTTATCAAATGTACAGCTTCTGATACATTTGCTTTATATATTTTTTTCTTGTTCTGCATGTTTTAATATGTGAAGTAGTCAATGTTTTAGTACAGTGGTGTTTTATTTTAGAATTGATCCAATACGTCCATTTGCAGAACTGTTTGTTACAGCATATGGTAAATAGAAACAAAGAGATTGGGAGAATGAATTTAAAATCTTCAGTCTGATGTGCTATATTGGAAGGAGCCTTTTTGTGTTTTTCATATGACTTATTTATGTATTTTGTAACAGGGATTTTGTTTTTTGCCTTTAATTTTGTGGTGGACTTTGTGCCTTCCAGGTTAACAGTATGACAATGCATTAATGAAGAACTTGAACTGTCCAAAAGGATGAGACAAATGATAGCAGATTAACTATGCACAAAAGCTTGTTCTGTGAGCCACTTACTCTGTATAGCTTTTATACACAAATGTAGCAAATCTTTGGCCTTTTGATTTTTTGTTAAAAGTGTTTTTGTTAAAGGTGGCGTTTCTCACCAAGTGTTAAATTTGCTTTAGTTAACTGGAATAATGCAGCACTTTGCCAAAAAAAAGTGTAGGATTGTTTAGCATTAACTGTTTTTATATTCTAATGGTTCTCATAGTTATTCATTCAGACAGAAAGTGCCATGAGCACTTCTGAAACATTTATGGTCAGAAAGATGTGCAACCGAGAGAGTCTGTTTCAAAACTGTAACCTTTTAAGCACTGTTAGTGTAAATAACATTAACAACCAGTCTTCAATAAATGTCTCATTTAATAAGCTTCCAGTTGTTGCTGTCTCTTCTTTGAAATTCCTTTCTGATTTTCTCTTTTGTACTTATATAAGCCCACAGAACATTATTTGACATTGCTTGTGCACCCTGTAGCTGGAGAGCATGCTTACAAATATTTAAGAAACCATGCTTTCTGCTTACCTGCTTTTTACCGGTAATCATATCCTAGGTTCACTACAGATTTTCTACATTGTACAACCAGCTATGAAAATGCCAAACCACCAAGGACTAAAATAAATGTACTAACAGTATATGTAAAGGTAATGGTACAGCAGAAAGTTGTCAGCTTTTGAGTTGAGGATTGCATAACCAATAGATGTTCTGTTCCACAAACGTTCATTGGACCTTGAATATCATGGTCTGTGGTGTGAGGTGATTTTGGATTATTTCAGCACTATTTAGAACCCTTTAATACTGAATTAACTTCTTAACCATATATCCATATGACATATCTCCAGCACTTTCAGAAAAAAGGTGGAAGCACAAAAAACAGCTTAGAAACTTAGTTGGCCTTACCAGACAACTGAATTGTGAAACCTCCACAGTGAAGCAGTGAAATTTAAGCAAAGTGTTAGACGAGTATGGCGCTATATTGTAGCTAAATCCCTGGCTTCTTTCAAGAAATAGCTGGATGAGATTCTTGGGTGACTTAACTACCACTGGGTTAAATTGATTAGATGGCCTCTCCTCTTTTGTAACCATACCTTTTTTCTATTTGAAACACCTGCAAACCGATCAGAAGGGCAACACATTCCTATGGACAATGACAATGCACATTGGGCGGTGTGTTGGATATTTTATTTCTGTTGGAATGCCTGTCTAGTGTGTCCATCAGGATGTGTTCTCCAGATTCTCATTTATGTGTATCAAAGTTCCTTGCTTGGCAGTGCAAAATTGACATGAAAATGGCGTCTGTTCATTTGCAACCTTCCTTATGTTCTTATTTCATTTATTCAGAAATCGGTAAAACTCGAATTACAACTAAATAAGCTGATGGATATAAAGAGATACAGTACTTCATACTTTGAAGCTAACTTGCCTGGCTAAGGAATTTGCGCTGTCATAACGCCGCTCATTTATGAGCAATGAATCAGGGAAGCTGCTGTAAGCGTGCCGTTGGGAGTGGTCGTGAGGGTTGCTAGAAATGTTGGTATAGAGTTGTGGGCAGCCAGGAAGTATTTATACATAGGAGAGCAGAAATGCAAGATTAGAATTCAACTTTTGTCTAAACTTCTGTTCACCAGCACCATTTGTTGCCTATAATATTGATCTGGTATTATAATATTGTTCGTTCCGTGTTGCGCAGATCTTTACCTTGAAATTCACTATCAACGACCTGCTTCATCAATTTGTCTAGGCCACCGAACAACTAGCCGTTTCCTTTTACTTGCAGCTTTGCAACAACAGAAATATTGCCCGCTACTATCACAAGTCATCTTGTATGCAACGCCAGCACATGAAAACAACAAAAAAAAAGTAATAAGAAAAGCCGATGATAAAGTTGCCTCCTCTCACACAGCTGACTTGGCGCTAAACCACGTGCAAGCCTCTGTTTACATTTTGAGAAGTGTGCACGTTGTGCGCTCTAGCCTAGCTTCTATTGGTTACAATCCGGCTGAACACCGCCTAGTGGGTGGGTCTGATGGTTGATTGCCAAAAGAGAACATCGAGAAATTAAAAATACTATCCGGATTATTATTTTTTAAATAAATGAATAAAAGCATATTAAAAGCGAATCGGTTACGCTTGAATGTAGCAAAACACTCTTATCTACAAATATTTTCTACCCGCTCCCCCGTCTTTAGGGAGGAGTTATGCTGTATTGTTGTGCTGTATTGCTTACTAACGTTTCATTTTTAAAATCTGATAACTATTACGGGAAGCAAAAATAAATGCACAACATTTTAATATCTACATCGCGTAACTTCTTTACATTGCGTATAGGTTAACATACGTTACATGCAACATTATCCAGGGGTACACATGCGCACTAGCCGGGAATGTTGGTAGATATAAGACTTGGCGCCGGCGCCAGCTGATGAGTTCACTTCATTTTCTGGTAAGGCTTGCCGCTTAAGGTTTGCTATATGATCGTTGATATGTTTTTCTTAAAAAAATAATTGCTTACTTTTGCGTGATTTTGATTCTTATTAATACAGGAACACGGGCAGTTAAAAAAAACATAAAGTAAGCTAATTGTAGACGTTTTATGCAATTTGATGAAGGTATCTTAGTTATAATGTACAGTAACAAAATTATTGGTTTATACACCGTGAAAGCCTTTACTCAAACACGTCTTAAATATGAAATGCTTACAATTATTGTGATGTTTAGGTTGCTGTTTTTTGGGATGGGATTCCCATCACTTGTATTTTGTGAGCTATTTTGCTACTTTTTGGAGGGACGTGGCGAAATGAAACTACTGATGACCCGCATCAGCAAAACGTAAAATAACTTTTACGTTATTGCTTACTTTATATTGTGATTGCTATACTTTAGTTTAACAGAATAACAAAATCTGCTATATGTTTGTAGAAATGGACGTGTACCTTTTGTGTGTTTTTGACGCCGGGAGGGAAGGTAGTAACGTGACTAAAGGTCCAGTCGTATTCCTACCCGCTTAGAGAAATTGGCGCGGAGCTGACTTTAACAAAATGTAAAAAATATCAATTGAGATTATTTTCCTGGTATTTTGGGGATTTGTGATGCTTTAAGGGTTGAATATTGAAAAGGGCTTAGTGATATTGTTGAATATTCACATGAATAAGGCAATTTTATTCCAAGTGTCTGGAGCTCTTTTACAGAGTCGTCACTTGCTTTACCGCCGCAACGGCCTACGTGTGCATTGTATGAAAGATTTTTTGAGACATCCTCTCGTGAAGTTACTTTAAAATGTTTATAAACTCAGCGGAAAGTTTGTTTAGGGAGACACTTTGTTGCTAAACGTGCTATATTCCACATATTGTTTGTTATAATGTAATTTCTTTCTTTCCCTTACTGGTGCCAGAAGCAAGATTTGTAACTACAAGGATGTCAAGGCGCAGGTAAAATTACAATATTGTTAACGGTTACGTATGTTCCATTCTTATGAATACGTTTGTTAAAATATTTCTTAAAACATACTAAACTTTAGATTTACCTTCTTCATTTGCAGTGGCCGCTTACAATCTAGAAACGAAAACATTACAAGTCCTCCTATTGCCAAGGTTACAAGAAAAAGAAAACCGGAGGTTAGTGCCCGCAGTATCGAATTCAAATGTTTAATAAATTTAACATTCAGACGTGTGTAAGTGTACAATATCTTCTGTGTTTTAAAAGGAATGCAACAAAAAGAAATCGGAACAAGCTACGATCAAAAGGCAAAGTTATGCGATACAGGTAAGGAAATTGTTCATTGTGCTTGTGAGGTATTCCGTATGACTTGTGAGGTTTACTTATCAACAGCATCAATATAGAAATATGTATTTTTGTAGCATCTATAAGGAGATAAAATGCTGTCTTACAAATAGGTAAACGGAACGAATTCAGGATGTTTGCTTGTTTTCCTAACATTGAACAATGGGGGGGAAAATAAACAATTTTCGAATATGAAATGCGGGTTTGCGGTCAGCAGCGGTAGTTCTTGGAGGCCACAGAGCATCTGACAGTGTGTTACTGAGTAATTGTGTCAAAACGTCGCTGTTGCTGTATGCGCCTTGGCTATGTATCTATCAGAGCTACTCCAGTTTGGGCCCTCCCATTACAGCCCAGTTTACCCGCCTAATCCTAATCGCATTCTTTGTTGCTGCATTTATTATTACATTGAAATAGCACTGTATTACATATGCAGAGTTTATTTTTTGAATATTTAAAAAATCAACTAAGTACTGTATATTGTTGGACTGTTTTTCCTGCCAAATTATTTTATTATATTTTTGAATTTCGACTTGCAAGGTAATTATGTTCATTTGCCACCATTAACAAAGCTCATGGAAAATAAAATGAAGGGATGTTATTTTAAGACAATGGGTAAATTTCACGTTTAACTCCATGAAGACCTAAATGACTCCTGATTAATAATTCATGTGAATGTGTCTCGGGCACCTTTTTGGAAAGGTTTATTTAGCATATCGGGAAGCTCAGCTCAACTTGATATACGTGTCTGTGTTCACTGCTGCTTGCTGTTCAGTGAAGTATTTACTGAAAAGTTCTCCTTTGCAGAATCGATGGGCACCGGGAGAGATCAGTCCTTGCACCTTTATTGAAACGCCACACAAGGAATTGGAGACCACTCAGGACCTGTCTAGTTTCAAGCAGTTCCGATTCAAAAATCTTTTCATAAAACCTTCACCTTTGCCCTGTCTCAGGTAGATTACATTTTTTTGGCTTTTTATTGTGTTGTTGAAGTTTCCTGAGGATGTGAATGTAGCCATTCTGTTTTTTTTAGTGATGGTGATAAGTTTTTTTTTCATTCACTTCACTTTAACAAGACAAAGAATTGCCCCAACTATTTGTGTAAGGTTCCTATCCCATGTCCTGTTTGGTGTTTTTATTGATTTGTTTGTACTTAAAAATTTTTAACTCACTTCAGAACTCACCTGCTACCACATACATTAAAAACAAATATGAAATCACAGCATCCACCAAATTTATTATTTGTCCTAATTTTTAACATGGAGTTAATTACTTGGCTTGTTAAAATGTGATTAAAAACAAATATGACGTGTTTCTTTATGTGTATCTGTGCTAACTTGCTTAAAAGGTATAGATCATATTTGAATATGCATGCCACTCTTATGTAGAGCACAGTAACCTTGTCAAGTTCTAGGCTTTGTAGAACTATTATTTCAAATGTTTGTAGACCCTTTTACTTCTACATGCTTATTAGTACCGTGTTCATATGATAAGTGATGAAGTTGAGGGTTTTGATTGACAGCTGGGGGAGTTCAGAGGATGTGTGGATTAAGATGTTGAACAAGGAGCTGAAATACGTCCATGACAAGAGCGTCCTGCATCAGCACCCAAGACTGCAGCCAAAGATGAGGGCCATTCTGCTGGACTGGCTTTTGGAGGTGCGCAATGAGCAGCCTGTTTGAGCCACCAAGTGTTACAGTAACCACTCTAATTTTGGGCAGAAATATGCAATTGTGGTCGTTTCTCCGAAATTTAGTTAGGCAAGTTGTGAATCTGAATCTGAATCTGAATCTGAATTCCACAGCTTTTGTGTTTTGAGTAGTGCACTTCATTTAAAGTTTATGCTCCCATAAAAACAATAAAAATTCCATTATAAACCTCAGCTGTCAATGTAAGGGAGAATTTGTTCTCAATTCATTCATTAAGTAAAGCATTCAACAAATTTCCACATCAGTGATATTTTTGTTATTGTTCATACACAACATCAGTGAGATGCAGACTAAACAAAAGGCCTTTTCTTAGTCTATGAAAACGGTAGAGTGATGATAACTCAGTACAGCCACATTGTACTATAGACTGCAGTACATTTCTTATTTCTGTCCCTCCTGTACATTATTATTATTTTCAGTTCTATCAAAATGTTAACTAACAATGCTTGCAGTTTTTATATTGAATTCATTTTTCAACTTATCTTTTACAAAATGTTTCCAGGTAAGCGAGGTTTACACTCTGCATCGAGAAACGTTCTACTTGGCACAAGACTTTTTCGACAGGTTCATGCTGACACAAGAGAACATCAACAAGAACAGGCTGCAGCTTATCGGCATTACCTCCCTCTTCATTGCCTCCAAAATAGAGGTAATCTTCTCTTTTTTTTTTTTTGTAGACGTTTTTCTCCTTCATCAAGGAGAGCAGATTAATTGGCCCGGGTGTGAGTGTCCCAAATTGACACAAGAGGTACATATTGCCATAAAGGCATCAACGTCTTGTGTATACACATTGGTTTTATGGTTTGGTGCTTAATAGTGGTCTTAGGCCAACATATTGTTCCTGATCATGAAGACAAGACAAGACAAGACACTACGTGGAGATTGATATACTAGTATGGAGTTTGAAGGTTGATAGTGTGTGCTTTACAGTACAGAAAACAGTAGCTGCTCCTGTTTTATTAATGGTTCCTTCACTGTACAAAGCTGGTTTTAAGTGATAGTTGTTAGTTATATGGTACATCAGCCATATGTCTGGTATCACTCACTGCATGCAATGTATTACTTTTTTTTTCCCACAATTTCTTCCTCAGATTTTGGAAATCATTTGTATATGTCTTTCCTAGCATAACCCATACAGCTTTTTTTCTGTAATTTTGATACAATCCCTGTTATTTTATGTGAAGGGATGTAGATTGTTGTTGGTCCTGTACAGTGTGCTCTCTGCATAGCTTACAGTTCTTTCTGCATCTTGAATAATTGTATTTTTAAAATAGCTTATATAACTGCACATTATACATTAACATAAACCATCATGAACTATTGCTAAAACACATTACAGGACTTTCAAATAACTTTTTTAATCAAGAATGTACATTTTGATATGAACTCCATGAAGCAAAAGTATTACTGCTGCATCAAATATTGGAAAACAGTGTTAAAAAATTGCTTTAAGTCCTATAACGGGGTAACAACCTAGAGTAAAAATATAAGGCTGAAAAGCAGTGCTTAAGAACAGGTTTTAATCATCTTTTTAAAAATAAAGGTGTGATTTTTTTTGCCATTCCACAAGTATTAAATAAAAAGTGAATTTGGTCTCATTTTTAAAAAAGAAAAACGACAACTTTCAAATATTGGTAACCTGAATATAAATACAATAGTCAATAAGGTATGTACTCATGGCTAGATATTCACATGCACTCCCACTTAATATTTTAATGTTGGAAAAATCGTACATTTTTATTAAAATAACTGTGAGAACCAAAATAACTTGTTAAATTATTGTAGGTCTAGAAGAGAACCTTAGAAAGGTTCAAAATAACCCAGCTTTAAACTTAACATTAGCAAGGAATGTGCACTAATGAAGAGTTTTCATCATCTAGTTGTTTCTGTACTTGATGGTGTGAATTATTGTCTTTCTGCTCTGTTTTTAGGGTACATCTCCTTTTCAGCCACTCCCGTCACCTTTTGTCATCTTACAATGTGTTTGTCTTGTGTTTTTGTTTTAGGAAATCTATCCTCCCAAGCTGCATGAGTTTGCATATGTCACAGATGGTGCCTGTTTGGAGGATGAAATCGTAGACATGGAACTGATCATGTTAAAGGTGACTGCTAATATATTTGTTGAAATGAAAAACTTTAAATACTGATAGAACATGTTTTGCATGCAACATTGAATAGGAGTCATCCATCGTAAAGTGGTCTGCTTTGTCCGTTTTATTGATTCCACCTCCTGCATTTTTAAGTTTTTAAGACTACATAATTAAACATTTTTTTAAAATTATATCATAATATGTACAAAAATATTGCAGTTATAGCGTGTAATCATTTTTTATACATTTAATCATGTCATGACAAAATCAGATCATGCCTGATTTAAGTGAAGACCAAACTATTAGAAAAAAAGTGAAAGACTTTTAGGTACTGGTGCTTACATGTAAGTGTCTTATGTGGTTCTGCAAAATATCTTTCCAAAAATATGTACAGTTTTATTTAAATAATTTAAAAATTTGCATTGATCATTCTAAAACACTAATGACTTGGACTGTGATGGCAGTGATTTTTTAAAAAAAAATTCTTTCAGCACATTTATTTTGAAAGGATTTGCAAGATAATTAGCCTGATGATCAAGCAGATCATGAGCTCTGATGATGGCAGTTACTAACCTCAATATGAGAATCCTATGAGCGATTACATGTGCATGTAAAGAGCCACAAAGAACTCATTTAATTAATTCAACTAATTAGTTATGGTACCATTTGTTGTATCAATCCAATAAAACAGTGCTGGTTACATTGAAGTACTCATAGTGGACATAGTATAGTGGGCATTTGAAACATATACGTTTGTTCCAGTAATGCAGAATTGCAGACATTTTTATACAACTGTAACACTTTCCGCTCCCATCAAGGGGAAAAATAATTTCATTTGGTATCTTGTAATTATGATTATACATATTATGTATAATATGGTGCAATAACAGCACCAACCACTCAGCTTGAACTTTGGGTTTGGTGTTAATGACCATCTCCAGCACTGCAGAATGTGCATTTAACTGGAGTTTATTCATAATGAAATGTTACAATTTGTAACTAATGTAAACAATTATAACTGTTGCATTTTAGTGACATAATTGTCTCATACTTAAGCGATAACATATGAATTTTCCTTGATTGCAGCAATGCTCTTTCGTATTTAGTAAGAATGACTGGGGTGTACAAATGTTCTCTGAACATCCTGCACAAGAGTTTGTATAGTGGTAATTCTAACTTGTATGTGCTTTTTTTTTCACTTCACAGTGATACTTTATTTTCTTCTTTATACAGAAAAAAACTGTGGCGCTCATCTACAAAAATTGTAACCATGTTTTAATCTATTGTTACAAAAGAGAGAGAATTACAGAAATAATCAAGTGTGATAATCGGATATCAATTTTAACAATCATAACCCCCAAATTGTAAAAGCTATGCCAAGAACATACCTGAGTGGTTGGTATAATTAGAGGCACTTCTTTGTTTTCCAGTATAGCTTTGGTGAAAAGAGTAATAAATCCGGTGTACCAATTTAAACACATATTTATTAATAGTGACAAGGACACTAAACAACACACAATATACAAGTTACTCTATTTACAAATAAGGTATCTCGGGGGGCCAATGTCCTGACCACCCTAAAAAAACCCAGACAGCTACCAAGTATATGACACGGTACACATGCCAAAAAGACAGATGAACCTGCCTTATCCACTAAACAGAATACAACCTAGAGTTAAATCTCTATAAATCCAGACACAAAATGAATGGGAACCTATCTCCCTGCTCTAACAATGCATCCACTAACCCATGGTCTGGATAGGCCATTTTTAACTTTATTCTTTTTCCAGGAAATCTAAAAACAACACATTCGCAAGCTCTCTTATAAGGTTCAAACACTTAACTCAAATCTGATCTTAAAGGTTGATGGGAACAAGAACCTCGCGTTTGTATATGTATAACTCAGTATACATTTCACTTCCTTTCTTGTTTTGAAGAGAAATGCTCATGTTGACACTAGATAGGTGTTTGACACTAACACTAACTGTAATTTAGATCCAAATGTTTTAGCTTTATGGATGTGTGTAGACAAACTTATGATGTTACATTGTTTCTGTCTGACAGATTGACTGAATTTGACTACACTTAATATTGACTGCTCATTTACTTTGCAATGTACCTTGAGTTGCTGTGATTTTGTTTTTAAAGAATATAATTGATATAAAAAGAAATGTTTCTTCTCATGTTGTTGTACAACAACAAAATAGTAGAAACCTAGTTATTAAAGTAGAAAGTACTAATAAAGAATTATTTAGAATGATGGTATTTTTATTACTGATATTAATATTAAAGTAGAAAGTACTACTGGAGCCATTGATTAAATTCTTAATGTTCATAATGTGTATTTATCTCTATCATGATGATGATCATCTAGTAACACCCACATTGTGTCTAAGATCTTGGAAACCCTACAGTGGACATAAAGATCAAAAGTATGAACTGGTAGAGGATTTGGTTAATTGTAAAAACATGGCTAGTTAGTGGACAAGGTAGTACAAAAGTCATGTTAAACCGCAACAAAGTCCTGTTTTATTGTGTTCCAAATAGGGATAAAAGGCTCTGAGCTTAAGTACTTTTAAGATTAAAATGGATCATTGAAGCAGTTCCAGCTTATACAAAAAATACGTTTTATTACATTCATACAGAGCATAGATGTGCCATATACAGTGTGTATATATATATAAACTACTGAATTACAACTTAATTTTCTTTTTTTTTTTGTCAGGCACTCAACTGGAATCTCTGTCCTGAGACTGTCATCTCATGGCTGAAACTGTATATGCAGGTGGAGTCTTTGACAGATGATCCTAATGTTTTACTACCTCAGTTTTCTCAGGAGACTTTCATACAGATCACACAGGTAATTATATCAGTCATTACATTACCAATTAACCTGTAGAAACAGTCTCTACATTTATAAAATACAAATGATTATTTTGAGGAAGTACACCAACTGATGTGTTATGTATATTGCATTTAACGGGAATGTACATAACGTATGTTAATTTAATTTTACATTAGTTTAAATTGAAGTTATATTATGCTAGTTTCAGTGATACTTAATTGTGTATTTTTAAGAAGAAATCAGCAGTTTTGCCTTTTTTCATTTGTTTTTTTAATGTGTTAATTTTCTTGATTTTCTTTCTTTAGCTTTTAGACTTGTGTATACTTGATATCAGTTCTTTGGACTACCAGTATGGGATATTGGCAGCAGCTGCATTTTACCACTATACTTCATTTGAAGTAGTTCAAAAAGTGTCAGGTACGTTTTTGTTATTTTAGTGCTATTTTTTAATAAATATTTCTTGACTTTCATTAATGCAAATTTGTAATTGTCAGTTACATATATTGGTATTCTGAATTTAACTAAATTATGTATTGTAGGTTAGCTAAGATTAAGCTTTGTGAGCTGTAACACAATGCGATAAGCGGAACAGTACTGTTAATACAAAGGTGAATAATAACATCTAAATTTGTCAGGAGATGATCAGAGAAAGCATTTCTCATGTTATTAGGTCTGGTTTTTCCACAGGAGTTTAGAGGACAGTGTTGGATTCTGTTGATGAAAACACTTATTTTGGGGAAAGTGTCAAAAGTAAATATCACTTTATTAGAACCTCAGGTCTGATTTGCTTCAGCCTGTGGACCAAAAAGAATTCATGCCAAGTGAGTTCTTGGCAGGAATTGTAATTGCTACAACTCAAACTACAGAATAATGCATTTTAATTCCCTTATCTAGTTTTTCTTAGAATACAAGGATTGGCCTGGCCAAAATAAACAAAAGAAGGCCATTTGGTCTTCCGGTCAGAATCACAGTCTGCTTACAAAATGCTTTTGTATTTTTAAGGCTTAACGTGGAAAAGTATTTCAAGCTGTGTGAATTGGATGGCTCCCTTTGCGATGACTGTGAGAGAGGGTCCCCCAGCACAACTGAAAGGTTTCAAAAAGGTCTCTGCAGAGGACAGGCACAACATCCAGACACACAGAGATTACCTAGCTATGTTGGTAAGTATTGGCCATATTGGTAAATGAGATTTGTTAAGGCTTTGAATGCCAAGAATGTTCTGAAGGCCCTTGACTTATTTGGCTAAACTGGAAATTGGAAGTTTTCACAGCTAAACCTATTGCCCTGAAAATTAATTAAAAAGTCAATCAAAATTGGGGATCAGACATGAGGAGTATATTTAAAAGTCATATTATTAAGGTAGTTGGCAACTTAAAAGCAAGTGTTTTTATAGTTTTTCATTAAACAAACAGCCCCATTACTAGCAAGTGCTACAAAATTAAAATTATAGTAGGCAAGCATAAAAACATTATCTATACAATTGTATTACTTAAGCTCAAAAGGGCACAACTGATTGTCTGTCAATCTGATTGTTCCTCACGTGCCTGATTGAACCTCTTATTTAGGGCACAATTCCCCAATACACCAACATCAAACATCAAGCTCTATAGAGCAGTCGGATTGCTGGCTCTGCGTTACCTCTCGACCGCAAGCTTTATTAATTTTAGCATTGAACATTGATCTAGAGGTGACTTTTTCTCTCAAAGCTCTGCACTTGCATCCCGTCATGTGTGCTCACTGCAGCACCTTCAGTGTAATTCTGTACTTCATTCTGTTTATTCTGCGGTGTATTTTGCATTGTAGCTAATTGCTACAATTCGGACTTGTGGGTTGCAGTTGACTTGATGTGTGGAGCCGAGAGTGTTCTTTGGTAGCTCTTATTAGTGTACTGTAGAAAAATGGCCATTGAATGAAAATACTGTTTGATTTAAGGTTTTGTTTATGTGTATATTTAAGGAAACCAGAAGCAATGGGCATTATGAACTGCTGCATCACACTGCAAGTAGGGGTGCCAAGTCCTGGAGTCTTGCTTCCTCTACACATACTCATTTCAGTTTAGAACTGAACGTACCAAGTGACTTTTGTTGAACCAGTTTGACACATTTTTCCAGCTATAAAGGTTTGCATATTTAGAGGTCTATAAAACCTGCTGAAAACATACACTGAAAGACCCAGGACTGGACCAGTTAGCACCGTAGAATGTCATCAATAGGGCTTGTGCTGGTTCTCATACAAAAACTATTGAGTAATGCAGTAAATGTGATAAAACATTTACTGTGTTAATTGGCAGAGCGGTGGCTCTGTGGTTAAGGATATGCGCCTGTGGCTAGAAGGTTGCCGGTTCAAATCCTGCAGCCGGCAGAGAAATCCTACTCTGTTGGGCTCCTGAGCAAGGCCCTTAACCCTAGCTGCTCCAGGGACGCTGTACCCTGCGCTCTGACCCCAAGCTTCTCTCCCTGTCTGTGTGTCTCATGGAGAGCAAGCTGTGGTATGTGAAAAGACTAATTCCAAATGCAAGAAATTGTATATGGCTAATGAAGTGATCTTATCTTATCTTAAAACAGGATGATAATGATAGCTACTGTAAGCATGCTATTAAATTAAATCTACTATTGTTTTTGAAGCACGATGATTAGGGTAGAGATATGGTGTAATGGTTAACAGGAAATATGTATATACAAATAAATGTTTTACTCTTTTCAGAATGTAGCTCACCAAAAGCTGCAAGAGAATCTAGGACGATTATCACCAGTGTCAGTGGGAGGAATCCTGACTCCACCAAAGAGCACAGAAAAGCCAGCTACATACTAAATAAGGAGCTCTCAAAGGAATAACAAGGATTTGTCAAATTTGTGATTGTTAATAAAGAAAATCCCAGAACACTTTTATTTAAAAAGAAACATATTCCGTTGAGGTTGTATACAATACTTCATGGATTTATTGTGAATTTTAATGTATTTATGCTGTACTGAAAATCAGACTGGGTTGACGTGTGAAGTTTTTTACCAAAACTAACATCAATGGTAAATATATGGTCTTTTTTTTTAACAAAAGATCATAAGTAGGTACGTAATTGTGGGTTAGCGTTGCATTAACTTGGTGCAGTATTTCTCGAGCTTTTAAAGGAATATTTAAAGTAGTATGATAAGTATGTCTTAACTGTGAAAGTGCATTTAGGATTCTTATATGTTGAGCTTAACTGTCATGATGAGATTAATTCACTTCCTTGTACAGGGATATACAGTACATTGATGCTGTAACTATTCTTTGTACACCAGCCACACATGCAATTTTTAGCTGAGCATTCTTGTGCAGAAATGTAATTCCTGGAAGACTTGATTTTTGTAAAAAATGTGCAAGACTGTTAAGGGTATTTATCTCTTTTGTTATTATAAATGTTATTAGTCCTACATCCAGTGTTAATCTATATTAACAATTAAATAACTTTTTTAACTTAATATCATTGCCACTAGCACATATTTAACGGAAAGTACAGGTATAGGTTTGGGTTTGATACCTGTATCTCGTCAACCCTTGCCTACAGCGATAATGTGATGGGCATGGAATTTTGCCCTCTAAACTTAAAGTATTTTCATTACATCAACAACCCTCTCAGGACTTCTAGTTCATGACTTGGTTTAGCTGCACTATAAATTGTTACTTGTTTCAAGGCTAGCAAAATTGGTCATGCTGACCTACTACACATGTTATAAGAAATGCTAATTCACTTGACTGTAAATATGTATACATGTACATAAAACAATGCCAGAATTGTATGTTTTAATGTTTATTTTCTAATGTGTAATAAAATATGTATACAGTAGCTTTTTTTCTGTACTCATTACATGCTCTCTAAAAATATAACTTTGCCATAGCCTGAAGAAACTTCTTTTTCCTTTTCTGGGCAGCAAGCTGCAGCACTTCCTCAGGGTTACTGGCATTCAGCTCAGTCTGTCCAATCGCTTTTATCTGAAAACAAAAAGACTGTATCACTACACACTGGCATATTTTTACTTTTCCAAAGACAATTCAATTTATTCAATTAATAAATGGCAAGATTTATTATAAAGTTGTACATCAACTTAAGGTCTGAAAATAAATAATCCAAAAACAATTTTGTTACTACCACTTTCAAGTTTGAAGTATTCCTTTGTTACATTTTTAATGCTTCTGCATAAATGTCCAGTCTGAGCAGTAACTGATATAAAGCAACTTTTTGTTCTATTTTATTTAAATTAGAATTGCAGTTTTATTTACAATTTTCATTATTTGCTCATAGTAACAGTATCCATTCCCCCATGTCCCTGGACAGACTGAGAAAGTAATTCGGAGGCATGAACTATCAAATCATTATAAAGGGCGCAGTGTTGCAAAGATGAGATAATGCAGCTGACAATCTCCGGTTGTTTAATGCCACAAAGTGAAACCAAATCAAAAATGTTTGCATTTTGCATGTTTTCAATTGAATAAATTTACCTGATTTTTATTGAATTCCTTTGAAAAATAAGAATTTATGATCAACTCACTTTAGTGGTGGGTACAGTAAAATTAACAAATGCAGACACTTTAGCAACAACAGGGCAAATGTGACCTTGATCCACCAATAAGTCACAGTCACCTTCCTAAATTCCCAGTTCACCAAGTTGAGTGCTTCTGAAGTCTCTCCAGTACCTCACCAAGAGTGTCTGTAGCATGTTGTACGACACTTGTTTGTGTCAGAGAATAAAACAGTGCCTTTCAATACGATTAATCTTATCACTGTTAACTACAGTAATAGTTCCAGCTATTACTGTTCCAGCTAAATGAGACAAAAAGTCAAATCAGTCTGGATCTCAAAGTTTAATAAGCAAGCGCACTGGTCTAAGATATTTTGCATAAAAATGACAAGGTGTCAATGAAACACCTTGAATTTAGATTGGATGTCACAGAAGATGTAGGAACTGTAGAGTTTTTATCATTTCACTGAGACGAGGGTTGAACAGAAGTTAAACATATACTTATGTGTTAACACAAATTCATTACAGCAGAGCAAGGTAACTTTACACTCAATAATAAATAAAGTTACAATACAGTCATGCAGACTGTTCTGAAATTCCTCAAGCAAAATTAGCTGTTTAAGTTTGTCAGAATTACCTACTTTCCAAGCAGTACACAGGCACTAAGCCTGGGGATGGCAAGGCTTTTATATCAGCCCCTACATCCACCCGAGCAACATCCGCATCCCCAGCTTTTGCATCAGGGGGAGGTAAAAGCTACTGTATATCTGCTTATTTACTCAACAAGGTAGACTTTCTCTCTGTCCTAGCATACTGGAAAACCAAGAGACTAAAGAAACCTGCTATCACAATATCTGTCTTCCAACATTTCTCAAACTGCTCCAAAGTGTGGCGCAGAGTAAAATCCTGTAAAATCAATGCCCTGATGGACACACCACCAATTATCCCTACACAGCACCTGTAATACAAAGGACCACTAAAAACTAAACAAGCCCAAGTGCATGAGCACAACAAGAAGAAAAAAACTGGCTACACAATACTGATAAAAAATCCCGGACAAGCCCCCAGGTATGTTACATCCCTACTATGGTTACGTCTAGGGGAGTACAAAGTGTACAGAAGTGTGCAAGAATAGTTATTACAGAAGTTTTAAAAACTTGCAAGATAAAGTAATACACTGTTACATGAAAACAAAACTATATGGGCACTACACAAGGTGGGGGGCACTGGGAGGCACCTAAAATATGTACTACACTATTCAAGGGCACACACTAACTCTCTTCCTGGAAGAAAAAAAATACTTGCCCAACTCTACAACATTATCTGGACAACCAACAAGATCCTAACAGTCTCAGCACACACAATCCAACAGCTAGACTTCTAGTAAGGTTAAAAATGAAGCGCTATAGATGGGAAACAAAATACTACTTTTAATGGCACAAACCAGCACAAATGGAACACAAACAAATTAAGGGGGTCATTGTAATGTTTTGTAGAGGGGCAAACTTCATGCAGATAATTCCCAACTGGATACAATTTAATATTGCCTTGTGAAACCGAAAATCTAGACTTTGGTTAACATATAGTATTTAACAAATATTTACCAAAGTTATCCTACTTATTGCTTACTGAATCTTTACAACCTCAAAATAATAATAATAATAATAATTGCTTACACTTATATAGCGCTTTTCTGGACACTCCACTCAAAGCGCTTTACAGGTAATGGGGACTCCCCTCCACCACCACCAATGTGCAGCATCCACCTGGATGATGCGACGGCAGCCATAGTGCGCCAAAACGCTCACCACACATCAGCTATCAGTGGGGAGGAGAGCAGAGTAATGTAGCCAATTCATAGATGGGGAAGGAAGGAAGATTATTAGGAAGGCCATGATTGGTAAGGGCCAATGGGAATTTTGGCCAGGACACCGGGGTTACACCCATACTCTTTTCGAGAAACGCCCTGGGATTTTTTAATGACCACAGAGAGTCAGGACCTCGGTTTTACGGTTTCACCTGATTAGCTTCAGTGGGTTACCAGTTGTGAGTTGCAGGATGATATGGCTGCTGGCTATTTTAGCTGCTGGCTAAAATAACCAAAAGAAAACACCTACTGGGTACACCGTGATCTCACATGCAGGTGTAAAATACAGTAGGGTTAATAACATTGTAAAATATATCAGATTTGTTTTAAAATTTGTATCTGCTGTAAGTGTTAATACAATGGTACATATAATTGCAATTCTATTGCCTAATATTGCGAGTCATACACTTATTGTCAGCTGGGTGACGTTACAGTGATCAAGTCAATGAATTGTAGTATGATCAGTATACCGGATAAATATACTGTATATACAGTAAATATGAGCCGTGGTTCAATCCCAGATAGGGGCAAGCGATGGAGCTTGCTCTAATTCCTTTCAGACGGCTCCCAGGTCCACTCAGCCTGCTTTCCATATTAATACCGAGGGTTAATCCTTCCGGGGGTAATAGGCTGGCCGGAGCGTGATGCTGACCACATCACCTCCACCTCCAGTGTCGGATGGTAAGAAAAATGGTGGCCCTTGTCCCCCATTCCCCATGGGCCTTTATGGCCTGAATAGGGACATACCTACCTACAGTAAATACAGTATGATACTGTATGGCTTTAAAGCCACTACAGTACAGTATATGTGAAATATATTTTTCATAATCAAAATCTAAAGTAAAATTGTTTCCTGATTACCTGTTGCTGAAATTATTTGTTGTCTTAACTAAAATTAAGACAAATATATGATGCAAACCTGAAAAAAGCACATTGCGTTCACAACAAGTTGTTATAACAACTTTTTATATATCTAGTTGAGTAATTTTGCTTTGTTAAACAGCACTACTTTATTTTTTATATTCATTTATATTTAACATACTGTAATATACAGTATAAAATTAAGAAAAATCTAAACAGTATTAATTTCAAGTAGGTAGCTGCGTCAGCATGCGTAGGCTGCAAAGGAACAGGTAAAGATTTAATCCATGCTGAAAAGAGAAGAACAGAAACACAACGTTTCAGCTGTGGAGCCTTCTTCACCTGAATGGTGAAGCCTAATTTGTAACCTGAAATGGCCCCGTTTGTATCCTTTTTATGTGTTAACAGTCACATATATTACACAGAAAGGATCAGATCCTGATGATTTTCTACTTACAGCTATTTGTCTTTTTTCATTCTCTCCTCTTTTATGATGAATGTCTTGATCTATGGTCAAGGAAGAACTATAGCAATTATTAAAATAACTTGCAAAGGCAGAAAAAATAGGGACCAAGTCACCTACAGGACATTGAATTTCAAACCATGAATCCTATCAGACTTTATTGACAATTTGACAAAGAAAAGTTCTACAGATAATGTAAATGTTAAAGTGCCAACGTTTCATTATTTTAAAAATTGAGAATTGCTAATTATTTTTATATACCACCCTATTTGAAATAGCTAATTGAGTGGTTTCATATCTTGGCTTTCTGTTTATAAATTCTATGACTGCAAAGGGGGTAGAAGAGGATGTGTAAACAGCATACTCCATCCCAACTTTGAGCCACTCTTCTAACACAGGCACACAGTCTCATACTGGAAGTTCAGTGCCAACAGAATCACATTCCTGCAAAAATGCAGTCAATACTTTTCTACTGCCACTTTGGAAATCCCCATCATGGTTAGCTTAGTGACAAGACCAATGCCTGAAACCATGATTACAGAGCTCAAGCTTTAATAACTGAGCCATACTGAGGCATTGTGTTGCCATGATGGGTTTTTCACCTCTGAATGAAATAAGGTCAGAGTTCAAAAAGTCCAATGCTTGTAAGAGATACTGAAGCTTCTCACAGATCATGTTTAATAAAAATGAAGGAGATTTAGAACTAGAATACTAGAATAAAATAGTAAAAATTAAACATAAAAGTTTGTATTTTAACTACATTAACACTAACATACGTCACTCAGAATGACTTCATATTCACAACTCTATACACATTGGAAGAAAGGTATCTATACCCCTCATCAAAAAACATGGTTTGTCTTACAAAGGTAACCTTTTCTCCTGCTCCTGCTGTGCTGGGCACACAAAGGATACAAGTCAAATATTCAAGGATTGTCATATCCCAGATGTAGTCATAAAAGGAGTCCATAGCATCATGGCTAGAAGAAAGCAGAATTGCAGAAGATTAATTTTGCCCTCCAAAACGCAAACGGCCTGTGCCAAAACAATTCTGAGAATACTGTACCTGCTCTGCTCCTGCAAGGCTTTAAAAGCAGTCATATAATCCACTTCTCTGAGGAACTGGCAAAGTACTGCAACCTTAAAAAAAGGATACAATTTTTGTACCTGCAAAACAATTTGTATCTGTATTTCATGCAAACCTCCAGAATATGAAAGGAACCCACCATAAGACTTCCAAAGCATAGGTTATGCTAAAACAATCTACAGCAATAATGCCCCTCTCCCTACTTTTAGACGTAGAATTTCAACTTGCTGATTTTAGAAAATGAATACTCTTATCTTTTTACGTTACATAAATATCTAGTTTTGATATTTATAAGTTTATCTCCATATAAAGCACTAAGTGTTTTTGTAAAGAATGTTTTTTAAACTTGAGTGTCAGGATGACTGGGAGTGTGGTTCATACCTGAGTGTGACAGTTTAGCAGAGAACAGCACTTAATCATTCTCTTCAGGACCTGCAAAGAAACAGAGGTCCTTTTCAGTACATTCCAATATTGCTGGACATCAATTTGCACTTAACATAATTTGGGTATTTTGATCTATTGATCTTAGCTATTCTAAATACCTACATTTGCATGCATTCATTAGTTACAGTTATTTATTTCTTGGTGGAATAATTAAACATTATTAAGCTGTGAAGAAATAAAAATGCTTCCCAAAAGTTTAATTATTACATTATGCAGGTTGGCAAGTATGGTGGCAAGTGGTTAACATTGCTGCCTCTCTGCACTGGGTCCCAGAGATCAATACCTGAAGTGCTATCTATGTGAAATTCTTATGTTCTCCCCTCGTTTGAGTGGGTGCTCCAGTTATCTCCCACTGTCCAGGGTGTATCCTGCTTTACACGTTACTTGTACACATAGGCTCTGGTACACCTGTAACCCAGTATTGAATAAAGTGCTTAGAAAATGGATCTATGGATTATGTAGGTCACTACTTATTGGCAATCAGCACTGATTAGTAGTGGTGCTTCACTTACTGTTTTGACTAAAAAAACTGCTGAGGGTGAGAATCGTTATTTTCTGACATTACTACATGAATGCTGGTTGTGGTTGCAAGTCTTTCATACTTATTTGTGATTAGGGAAATAAATGGGAAAAGTTTCAGGTTTTTGGGTGAAAATCATGAATTCTACTTTAAAGGAAGCAACAATACCTTTGCAGCAAATGCATGTGATGCAGCTCCACAATTGAAGAAATTTGGAGCTACATCGCATGTATGTACTGCAAAGGTACAAGTAAAGGTTAACTGCAAAGTACAAGAAATGTTTTGGCTGTGTGTTACATCCATATTCTCTAATACTTTTAGTCAGTATTCTTTATATATTTCTCACAATGTTTATTACAAAATGTAGAATATATATTATGGTGTGACAGTGGCACAGTGGTTAGCACTGCTACCTCACAGGGCTGGGCTCAATTCCAGACCTGGTGTGCTATCTGCTTGGAGTTATCCTGTTCACTGTGTTCGGGTTTCCTCCGGCTGATATGGTTACGTCCCAAAGACATACTGGAAGGTTAATTGGCACAAGGGAAAACTGGCCCTAATGTGAGCACGTTTTTAGTCTGTGTGTGCTCTGCAATGGACACGCATCAAGTCCAGGGTGTTTCATGGGCATGCCCATGCTTGAAATGCCCATTGCTTGTGTAGCGGTAAGGCTTATTAATAATACAGGGATTAAGTTTGCTGCTTCCTTGCCAGTCTCTCCCTCATCTCAGTGGTGCTGGACACAGAGAGGCCATTCCATGTGGTTCAGACTTAAGGTGTTTTTCTGTCTCATAGAGTTTCCTGATAAGGAACAACTTCCAGGGCTGAGATTCTCCAGCCACCCTAATGAATGGTCATCTCTGGCGCCTTTCTGTATGGGAGATTACAAGTGAGAGTCGCATCCCAAGGTGTTTACAATCCTAAGGGCAGAGAGCATTGTTACTCATCCTCCACCTTGATCAGCCAATCAGGAACTGGTAGGGTAGGGTAACTCCACGTGGGTCTCAAATTCCTGCGAAACCAATGAACGACTGTAGTTCCTCCAGATAAAACCGTCAGCACAGGGCCCAGAAGGTGCCCCTCCAGGACATTCTCAGACTCAGCTCGGACAATCAAATGACGGCCAGTGTGTCTGAGTGCCAGGACTTTACTTTGTTCGAAGAGTCGAGACCGGAGGTTGCCCGCATGTAACCAAAGGATCCGCCCGAGGTTAGCCCAGCAGCAAGCCTCGTGAACCGCCGGTAACCCACTGTGAATGCTCGCCTGATCAACGAGCGAACTACGGTCGGAACTGTCGACAGCTAAATCTCAGTATTCAGAACTGGCGCTATATCGGGAACGAACCGGTCTTCTTCCCGTCTAAAGAGTGTGACTTGCTCGGACCCGCAGACACTTTGCTTATGCACAAACTCTGCTAGTTCAGCCAGGACTAGCTAGCCAGTCTTCAGAGAGGCACTGCCAGCTTGCTGCAGCAGAAATTTATCCATCCTCCCACACCTCCAGCTGCACTAGGACTGTCTGGCACCGAGGCCAGAGGAGGCCGATTGGATGCAGCAACAACCTGTTGCTGATCCTCTGTGTCCGCGGGAAATATGAATCCACATAAATTGGATTAGTATTCAACATTCTGCATTACAGCTCAATTGTTACCTTATCTAGTGTAGAAGTTGTAATTAAAGCTCATTAACGAAATGGTATAAATGAATGGTATACTGAATGCATGTCTCTCTTGGCATTTGTAACTCTTTGTGATTGAATATATTATACCTTTTGTATTCTGCTACCCCTCACTATAAGATTTGCTATGTTTATATTCACATTTTATGTATTAATAAATGTATTCTCGTGTATTCGTATCCGTGTGTGTGCGTTGTTCCACATGGTCGGTTTTCTAACAGCCATCGAAGAATCATTTTGTGATTTACTGCTACAATTAATAATTGTCCTAGCAAATGCACAAAACTCCTACACTTGCCAGGATAGGCTCGGTTTGCCTCGCAACCCTGCATAGTTAGAAAATGGATGGTTATATTTTATGCATCTCCCTTATCTTGTGTTTGATATGCATCAAACAGTGTGTGATTGTATGCAAAAATGCGTAAGAATTATGTTTAAATATAAAAAGGGATGAAATGTCTAGGCACAAAAAAAGAAACAAATAAATGCCAAAAGCCCTTGGACATAGATTTCAGCATACTAGAGAAAAGTTAAGATAACACTTTTTCCTCACAGTGCTTTAGAAACACTGTACAAAAGAAAAAATTAAGTTTTATCACAATGTATATCCAATGGGCTAGGACAAATGCAGTCATAAATAGCCAATTATTTTTGTTATACTCAGTTGATGTGATGTGAAACTTCAAATGTGTGTTTTTGTATGCTCTGCACTTGCAACACCTTGATACAAGAATTTATGTACTCAATTGCATTCACACGTGATATCTGTTGCATTCCTTAGACTAAAAACTGCTTAAAAGTGAAGTGGCAGAGTGTCTCCATTGGTTATTTTAGACTGTCTGGAGAGATCCATGCTTTACCTGATCTGTATAGACATCAGGAGGGACCGTCTTGGTGAAGAAATCTGAACAAACTGCCCCTGCCTGGAGATAGTAGTGCAGAGCTGCTGAGTACTGGTTTGTCACTGGGGAACAAAAAGGAGAACAAACTTAAAAGCTACACTACTAAACTGACACTACAACTGGGGAATATTTTTTAATATATAAATGAATAAGCATGATAATTCAACAAGGTGACATCTATAATCTTATTCTTCAGGAGATAGTTGACTTCCTTATATAGTCTTCATTTTTGACTTTCTGGACCTAAGAATTATTCCCAGCCTTTGCAGTTTTAAATGAGCAAACAGGATTACAACTCATAGCTCATTTGTTCATATACAAACAGCAAACGCCAGGTGCCTGTGCAGAAGAGCAACCGATGTACAAGTAATGTTGAAAAATGTGTGCTATAGCTGAAAAAAGAGCGTTGCCTTTTTGACTGACTTGAAACTGACATCTAATAGCAAAGCAAATGGAGAAACAGAAGTGTTAACATTTATACTACTAGCTGAACTTTGTACTTTGTCTTACCTTGGAAAACAATTTTGCTTATGCATAGAGAAACTGCAAGTATCCCAGCTGTGAGCAAGTTCAAACAGCATTTTCCCCAACAGGACTACAACAAAATACAGGACCCCCTTCACGAAATCAAGATGGGGAGGGAGTGGGGTGTATTGATATTTGAGCAGACTGTTTCCATTTCAAGGTGAGGATTCATACCTCTGTGATAATTGTATAATTAGACTTTTGTACAGTTAAATGAAAACTTACCAAAGTAAATGTCTGCCTGGGTGATCAGCCAGGAATGATTGTTGGGGTTCAGGGTCAGTGCATAGTTGACCAGCTCTTTCATGGTTACAGCAACAGTCTCCACATCCACTGACTGGAGGCTGGGGAGAATGTGAAGGACTCAGGTGAGACAAGCCTATAGTTCACTTCAACTCTTGTTTACACCCTTCAGAGAACATCTTGACTTCATATAAACTCAGTCCACATATTTTTAGAAAGCAGCAAAAAAAAATGTTCTTACTTTGGTAGGGATATCGGCCAAATAGATATGTGTTCTGCAGTTACTTCATTTACAATATCATCCTGCAAACAAAAGAAAAACTGATTAAAAATGGAGAGCACAGCTTTTATTTTTGCATCACAAATGAAGCAGTGTGGGTGAACACTTACCCGTACGATGCTATGAAGCCTCACAAACAGAGATATCAGTGTTGTCAACACTAGTGGTTCCTTCAAAAAAAGAATAAAATGCTCACCACTCAATGAATTCTTTGCATCTTAAACAAGATGTATCACAACTCAAATTCCTATAAATACTCAAATGGCCACTTCAGACACATCATACTCAGCAGCATCACCCCACACAGTCTCTTCTGGTTTTTGCTCCAGGTGTTTAATCAAAGGCTTAGTGATTTCAGTTTTCTATGTGGAGCACTTTCACATTTTCTTCAAGTTCTTAAAATAATGAATGAGATTTGTAATTTCTATCAACCATATCCGATTCTTGAGTTTCAAAACTCCCCTATTTCTATTGTGTTGCCTAAAATGTAACCTATACAATTGATTGAGAAGGAAGAATTTTTGTTTGCCTTCATTGTGGGAATATTTTATATATTAAGATATACAAAATTTCCATAATGGGTACCTATCCATCATAAACTGATCACCTGTTTAGTACAAACTAAACAGTAAATATCCATTTAGACATGAATAACTGAAGACAGTAGGCAATTTGAGGAGGCTGCTAAAATTCTCTACAATGAAGTTGTTAAAATACTGCAAACAAGAGGAAGACATTTGGTCATTTTTTAAGTTAGGTTTTTTCCAGAGAGTAACTTACATTAAACATCTATTAAATATGAAATCACAAAAAAAAACATTGTGACGCTACATTTTTCTCACAAAAATCGTATTAAGTTGAAAATCTTCATCAATTTGAGCAAATTAGATAATATTTCTCTTTTTGTGTAAGAGAACCAGACAAAATGAAATGACCTAGTCATGTGGGTATGTTGTCAGTTGACACCTTTCCTCTGATAGCTGATGTGTGGTGGAGCATACTGCCGCAGTATGGCTGCCGTTGCATCACCTACAGTAGATGGGGCTGCACATTGGTGGTGGTGAAGGGGAGTCTTACCTGTAAAGTGCTTTGTGTGGAGTGCCCAAAAAACAACTATATAAGTGTAAGAAATTATTGTTAATTATAATAACATTTGGTGCTGGAAGTATCTCACTTTTACAGCTTGTGAAAATGGTGAATGGTGATGTTTCATAGCACATACACATGCTGAACAGAATAGTATACAATTCACGCTTTCTTCTAGCATGAATTTTGACTTGAATTCTAGATGGCTGCATCTCTAGCTGCCTTATTATGATAGTCAAGGACTGATACAAGTTTAGTAGATTAAAGTAGAACTTAAAAAAGTGTTTGCTAATCCTCTTAATTGTAATCATGAAGACAATTACAGTATTGTACTTACCCGTAGTTTTTTGATGAAGGTCACAAAATTGCTCCTATAACAAAAAATATTCCAGACTGGATAAAAGCAGTCAAAAATGTTAACATGTTTGTGAGGTATCTTAGTTAGGTAATTAATTTAAAGCGAATATTTAAACAAGATTTAAGACCAAGGACTTTTTAAAACCAACTTGGCGATAACATTGCAGAAAGGAACACAGGATGAGAAGGATATAAAAAAGTCAGATGCTGAATATCCCTTTGAGCATAGTGGTATTGATTAAGAACCACATATCACCCAGACCTACATTCACCCCAAGAGCTACATTCAATGGGATGAGTCCAAGAGTCAACAACATACCAGTCAAAGAACATAACAAAACTGAGCAAAGCATTACATCTGGCACACATTCAGTACAGTGCATCACGTGGTAAAAACCACAACTACTGTCAAACAGAGTGGTCATTATGTTATGGGGCTGCACCTTATCAACAGGGGTTGAAAAGGTTACTAAAGCTAAAGACCTGCTTCAGTGTGCTTAAGATTTAAAGTTCAGACAAAAATTCACCCTTCAGCAGGACAGGTACCCAAAGCACAAAGTCTAAGCTAAAGTGGCCCAGTCAAACTACTGACTTGAATCATATCTTTTGCAAGATGCTTATGGGTGAATTTAACATGAAATGACTAGTGCTTTAACGTTTCTTTGATGTTTTTCAAGTCTTTTTGAATTTATAGAAAATGTTGTGACAAGACTTGAGTGCACGTCAGTTTTCACTGAAAGCCACTGTAACATTTTCTCATACCTTGTACAATGACAAACTTGCCAGAAAGATACCTGTGCATGATTCCAAGGCTGGACTCCCTCTGTTTAATTAAACTAATCCGTCCATCACTGGCTCGTTTGTGCTGGCTGGAGATGCTACAGATTTGAACAACCACTTCCCACAGATCTTTGGCTGTCCTCCTGCTCTCCTTGGGCCCTGGAAGCTCTTTACAGGTAGCTGCCAAGAGCTGCCCCAGCTGTAACACAGCAGACCGGAAGTGAAAAAGTAACAGTAGAACTCTCACACCCCTGTACTCCTTCTTGGTTTAGTCTAGCACTTTACAAAAACTTTAGTGACAAATGACAGTTTTTTTGTTGAACAATGTTGTGTATCACATTAGGAAATCTAATACACGGTCTTAAAAAATCGAAAACTAAGAATATTTTGCAGCATCATTTGCACAGAAGCAAGTCCACAAGTAACATTCTAGGAGACTCACACACCACATTTTCTCTGTCCTAGTTGTACTGGCTCCTTATTTATTCCACATGTTTACAGTTCAGTTAATGTTTCAAAGGATATAGATGTCTATTAAATAACAATACCTTAACATAGGGGTTATTCTGAACAAGGCCCACAGGAACCTGCAGTGTAAGGTATTCGTTCTCTCTCCAGTTTAACATGAATGCGACACACTCCTCACCTATGATCTGCCGAAGAGGAATATCTGTAATTCACAATGAGAACTACAGTAAGAAATATAGTTTCAAAGGGCAAAGTTTTGGGGGTTAAACACAAGTAATATCAACATTTTAAATGTGTCAAAAACCAAAGACATGATCATTGATTACAGAAAGCAATTACCAGCTGCAAAACCAAACCATTAAGGAGTAACAAACTGAAACTGTCAACAGTTACACATAACTTGACACCATTGTTGCTTACAAACTAACGTTTGAGAAAAACAGACGCAATACAGATTCATCCATTCAGAATGCTCAAAGCTTAATATGCCATACTACAAAGCACATACTGTGTTATACTGCAATAGTAACACAAAAGATTTTTATTTTTTCAAAAAATCTAATGCAGTACTGCCAGGTGGTCCCCTTAATGCTTAATGTGATGTGTGGAAGAATTCTGGGCTGTTATGTGAAACGCCCGGGTTCGAACCCTGGTCTATGCCCAGCCCCATATACTATCTTGACATTTTCATTATTTTATATAGCACTTAATATTAAAAATAAAAATAGGGCTGTTTCAAAGCAAGATTACTCAGCAGGATATACAGTACAAAAAGTTTATTGTTATAGGCGGTTGTGAACGTGATGTATTTTTCAGGTTTACATCTGCATTAAAATTTGTCTTCATACTAACTTAAGTAAAAACTAATGAAGAAACAGATAATTCTATTTCAAATTTCAATTAAGATTTTACACATACTATACAGCACTGTAGTGACTTTAAAACCAAACGGTACCCATACCGTATTTACACAATACTGTATTGTGAATTTAAAAAAAGTACTGTAAGAAGCTGATGTTTTCATTAACGCCTAATGCACCACAAGCGCTACCAGTCAATCGTCTTTGGGCGGTGAATCACACAGCCGAAATGCACCATGATACAGCAAAACAAACTGCAGCTAGTCTACAGCAGTAATGAGTGCTACCGCGCTTTCTGAATGGCTCTATCTGTATCTAAGAAAATTCAACAGTGATTGTTCTTCCTAAGTTATCTTTAATCTTACATCTATAAGCCTGCTTAATTTGGACAACTGATTGTGTATCTTACTTTGTTGTATACATATATTTTATTTTTCATCATACGTGTCTCTTCTTTGTTAACAGGTTCATGCTGTGTATGGTTTTATGTCTTTAACCTACCTGCAAAACTAATTTCCCAACTGGGACAATAAAAGGATGTAAGCACTTTACGGAAAATTACATAACATTTACAATAGATAATAACCTCAATATTCTTTGCAATCAAACACCTTTTTCAAAAGACCCCACCAAGGTGTTCAAAGTCATGAAGGCTAGTTGATTCCACTGTGGCCCAGTGCATTATATGATTGCCCCTTTGTCATTTCTTTGTATTACTTGGGAAAACTGAGCCTGCTCTTGAACTCTGTGCATTCCCAATCTTAGTTCAACTGCACTGAATGAACTGTTGACTTCCTGTACAAAGATCCAAGTACATAGAGTTTTGAAATTTTAGTGTTCTAATGCAGACATGTCTAATATAGGTGAATAGATCCAGAAAGCTTATATTTAGCAGCTAACCAATTTAAAACAGGATTTAGCCTTTATTTTTTAATGTGAATCATAATTTGAGCCTATCTCTTAAATTCTGAAAAGCAGCAGTTGTTGTGTTTGCCTTTTTTCTTTGTTGTAACAGGCAATTGCTACCTGATTTTGGCAGGGCTAGATCTTGACTCAGTGGGGTACTTCTTACCATGTATCCTCATCTCCAGATAACCTCTCACCCTGCTGACTAGGTCAGGAGGTGGACGATCCCTATTGGTACCCGTGCCAGTGCCGGCCTCATGTGCCCTTATCTCCAGCAGGAGCATCTCATTCAGCATAACCTGGCGCAGTTTGGGGGAGAACTCAGTCACCAGCTCCAGACAGGCAGTAAAAAGCTGACGGGCATGCAGAAAGTCCTGTGTGGAGAAATAAATCCCAAAATACTGAGACACTAAACACTAGTGCAGCTCAGATGAGAATACTCAAGGGGACATCCTTAACATACATTGGTATACACAGTCTAATCCAGGGATAGGTGACTCCAATTGTCAACTGTCTCAGTTGACTTTCAATAGCAAAACTGGTCAGAAAGTTTCTACCCCTTTTCCTCCTATCATATCTCATAAATGCTTAGCTGTTCAGCTGTTGTGGAAATGCTGACATTTTCATGCTCTGTACTTGGAAACTCCCTCTCTTGTCGGGCGTGTATTTAAACATAAGTCACTGTTAATGCCCCGTCTCCCATAGAAACAAAGGTTAAGTCATACAATTAGAGGATCCCTCTATTTTTATTTTAATTACACAGAGAGGGATGATCACAATTATAGGTGATTACAGAAAGACAAGAAAATTGCCAAGTTCAAAACAAGCAGCCATGCTGGGCACATGTTATTTAGATTCAGGATCCACATTTGTATTGGTCTTCATGTGTGAAAAGGCACTGCACTGTCTTGTACACTTGCTGCTGGGAAGCAGTCTGTAAAGCATCTTGTTCTCAGTAAATTAACAAGAACAAAACTATGCAATTACGAAGGACTAATAGTCTAAAGGTTATTTAATTTCAACAGGAAACTTTGTTTTCACAGATTCCATTTACATTGCAGTTTAATTCTACCCCATGCTGGATCTCAGTTTTCTTGTTCTGTCATTGAAATAGATAATGAGGTTGTGAAAATCAGCAAGCAGATAATTAAAGGTGCTTTTCAACGCTTTACACCTAATTGATGAGGAACACTGTTATTCTCACAAGACAAAATTAAGAATGTCTTATTTCTAATTTCTTCAAAGTTGTGGAGGCAATCAAACAACCAAACATATGCCTTTACACCTAAGCACCTTTCATTAAGTGACTAAGTACACAGAATATCTGAATAAAGTCACTCTCAGTAATGTATTTTTTAAAAGCATTTTAAAGACTTTTTAGATTTCAGAAGTGTCTGATTTACTACATCAGGCTTGGTAGCTATTTTAAAAATTGTAACTGCATTGGGTAAACCCTTGTCTTTCTAGGATCAGCTTAAACAACACAAAGAATCTTAAAATGACAATTATAAAAACCATGGGATGGCAATTCATAGCTAAAAGAGGACTGCTTTAAGGGACACCAAGCCAAGTAGAAGTGTAATTTTAACAAGTAGCTCTCTTTGATAGTCTTGACCAGTTTTTTTTTTACTCACAGTCAGTACATATAAAAAAGGAAATACATACATGGCTCTGACCTTAATTGCAATGCTGTGTAAACCTTTGGCCATGAGAATGTATACCAAATCTCGCGTTAGGTTATCCTTGATGCCCAAAATAACTCCAAGGTAGTCAGGAGGTACTTCCCACTGAAAGACAAAATTGCACAGATCATTCCTGGGTGTGTTATGCAAATAAAAATATAATAATACTGTACTGATGGCCTTGAACAACTTTTGCTGAACTGAAAAAAGCGATTCAAACTAAAAAGAAAAAACGAATAAACCTCCAGCAAAACGTGCACAAATGCAAACTTCCCACATGTACAACATCTGATGGTGCAATTCTGAACAAGAGGAATGTATGGATTACCTACTCTCATTTGTAATTTTATGCAAACAATGTCATGTGGTTATTTTTTGTAAATTAGGAGTTTGTATGCCACAAATAAGATGGGGTGAAAGAAAACAGTTATTGATATAAATAAGAGCAGCGAGTTCTAAAGCCAAAACTGAAATGCACAGAAGTGTTTCCTCCCTGACATGCAATATTCAGCAGCTTTTGTCGGCCTATAAGTGTGCTTTGGTAGTTCATTTAGCTCTCCAGTAGAGTTTTATTTTATATAATACAGAATTAATGGCCAAATGATTTACTGCAGGTCGTTAAGATGACAAAAGCCATACAGTCTTGCTTTAAGGCCTGAGCTTTAACAAAAAATATTTCTAAAGAACAAATGTATATTTATTTTTTATTTTTAACAGACCTACAGAATCATTTGAATAATAGGGAAATGTGTTACACTATATGTGATCATCTTACAATGCATAACGAAACTATTTTCACAGCTTTCTCTGTATAGGATTTTTATTCACTTACTTGCACAGACCTCAGTTTTCATTACATTTACTGTTCTGGCAGAAGTATAAAGTAAATCCTTCTGAATGATGCACCAATAAAAAAGAAATCACAAAGCAGTGTGACCATGGCATTTTTGTATTCTACTACTGTAAAAGGAAAGGAAATATTTTCTTCTGCAACAAGGAGGAACCTATGGAAATTGAACTAGTTTTTCAATCACTTATACACTTATAAGTATAAGTGTATAAGTGATTGAAAAACTAGTTCAATTTTGAAGACTTATTATTTCAAAACATTCTGGAAGTACAAGTGAGTACAGTGCAACAAAACCTTAAAATTAATGAGAGATGAATCACCAAGACTGTGTCTTGATGTACTTCTATATGCTGTATTTTGGCAACTTTAACTATGCATTTCAACTAAAAACAATTTTAACAACACAACTAAACACACAGGATTAAAATCCAGACACTCCTTAAATTGTGAACATCCATACTTACAAAGAAAGCTCCATAAGGAATTGTAATGACCGCGGGTTTCGCTACGGAATGGAGCAGGCATGGGACTCAGGGAATGGGGTTGAACAACACATTTATTCACTCGAACCGGGGAAAGGGATACACATACAGGGACAGGGGTTACAGCACAGCGCAGCACCTTCACTAACACACACAGACCCGAAGGGAAGAAACTGTATCTCAGCCTCCGCCCTACTATATACAGTCCCGTAGTCCCGCTCCCAAGTGCTGTTCTCAGCAAGTCTTCGTGCGCATGGCTAAAGCACCCCGCGTGGCGCTACAGAATCATTTCAGCATATGAATGCCAACCTGCACACACAAACAAGCTGTTGCTCTGTGAACTACTTGCGGTTGTATAGCATACTATGCTGCTTGCTTCTTTATTGACTTCCTTTTGAAAACAGTATGTGTTCCTTCCATTTAAAGAAAACAACAAATGTACTAATGGATGACAAGGGTTAAAGTAATGCTAGTCATACACAAGTATCTATGAAAAGGAAACCTATATAAATTTAAGTAAAAATAGATCAACAAAAGTATAAAGGTCTTAAATTCCATCAAGTTACAAACAGGAGGCAACTGATAAAATTAAACTCAAAACTTATTTAACTATAAACAAGTCTAAAACTAGAACATTGCATAACGTACTACAGTAAAGTCATACAGTATGTATGATTTGAAAGGCATGCAGATGAAACCACTCAGAATGCACATTTCTGTGTAACATGGTACATTGTATGATTCA